AAGTCCTAAAGCTCGCGATAAAGGCAGAGGCAGACGATTACAAGGACTTGGTGTGGAGAGGGATGAGGAGACGTGACTTCTTTCTCTACAAGGAGATAGATGTCCTGATTTCAAGGATTATCCCTGGTCGGAGAAGAATGAGGCTGTGGCTGAGGAAGTGAAGGAGATACGGGACATGATGAAGGGATTAACGAGACAGGTTACAGAGATTGTGACCGCTACAGGGGTCACCGCCTACCGGGACAAACCTAGAGGGCCCTATTCACTTCGCTGGGACSGTAGGAACAACGATCCCTGGAGGAGTGTCGAGGATAGAAATCCTCGGACGCTGACTGATTATCGTACGAGGGGAAGAGAGAGAGACAATGAATCATGGCGACGTAGGGACGATGAGATAGACCGAGACCGCAGAGATCGCGAGCTGTTTGTGCGAGCAAGGAGGCTAGATGATTACCCCCGAAGCCCTCGCTATGAGGCCGATCGGGGTCGAGGCGACTCCTGCGGCCGATGGGAGACAGAACAGGGCCGACGAGATGGATATAGGGACGACAGATACGAGAGGTCGGATCGAGATGGCTACAGAGGAAGTAGATATGAGAGAGGAGATCGGGACTGGGAATGACAAGATGGGTCGCGCGGACGGTTTGAGCGCGGGGGAGATGCGAGAGAGCAGCGCGACGAGTCGCGGGGATGGTACAATCGAGGGGACCGACGCGATGAGACACGAGGACGATATGACTCGGGGGACCGCCGGAATGATTCGCGAGGGCGGTATGAGCAAGGAGGGTCTGGAGGAGACCGGCGCAACGATTCGCGTGGTCGGAATGAGAGAGGGGGATATGGCGTCTCATCAGAACCATATCCCAAGTCGCCTGACCCCAAGGCGGCTAGGAATTCGATCTCTAAAGGCGCAGACGACAGGGCATCTACTCCCAGGAACTCATGCGTCTACTGGAGAGGAGAAGATCATATTAAGAGGGATTGCCCGGACCTCAGATGGGAAATAGATGAGGGACTTGTCGTGCTTGACGACCGCAAGTACGTCAAGTGGGCAGATGATCTGGGAGATGTATCGATGTTCCCTTCGATGAAGGGGAATGTCGAAGCAAGGAGATTAGAGACGAGTAAAGGAATGGAGCCGGTCAGGAGCCAGAGCATCAAGATAATCTTTGAGGGGGATATCGCAACCACACCCATAAGGGTGGCAACCACCAAGTCGGCTAGAGGGTCTACATCGAAGAAGACTGACACGGATTACGTGATGACGGAGAAGGACGGGCAGCGGGTCGATGGAGAGGAGGTTATCCTTTCCCCGAGAAAGAGGGGAGTGAAGAAGTTCTTAACGAAGAGTTCGCTGGACGAGATTGACACGGTTGAGCCACTGAGGCGGGCCCTTCCGCAACCAATGCAGTGTTCTATTCTGGAGTACCTGGCGGCATCGAAGCGGGCTCGTGATGAATTACAGATGATCACGCGGAAGACTCGCATACCTCTATCAGAGGAGGGTTAGGGGGCCCCTTAAGCGAAAACTTCTTCAGTAGCAGTAACGGGGGGGACTGCCAGAGCGGATCGCATGGCGACAGTCCTTCTCGATGGGATGGAAGGTGTGCCTCCAGACAAGTTTTATATACTTGGTTTAGAGACGATTATAAACGATGGAGCGATACTCGATGCTGTGATTGACAACGGCAGTGAGGCTGTCATCATAGACGAGGACCTGGCAGTACAAGTTGGACTGGGCCTCGATAGGTCATACCTATTCGAGATAGAGACGG